GTTATCATACAATATTTTGAATCTGACCATTGTAATACGCTGAAGTGTTATTTTAATGGCGACGAATAGTTCAGCGCAAATTTCTCTTCCTGTGTAAAAGTTAAATTTTGTGTGATGCCTGCCCAGAAGTTTGCTTTATTTTATGCTGATGTTGATGGAGATCAATAGATAGTTTTTTTTTTTTGTCTTTTCCCCAGGATATTATTTCTGTGGATCCCTGCCATAAATTTACGTGGTGTTTAGACGCTTGTATCAGAGAAAAGAATGTCGATATTAAAAGATCACGTGAATTACAGGTACGTTATCTGAACATTTCTCATCTCTCTTCAAAATCATTTCTAGCCGCAATAAGTGAAATTTATGTAAATGCGAGATTTTAGATTTTTATGACATCGAAGATGCCGATGGTGTCCTCGATTGTGGCAACTGTGTGGACGTGAAGGTGGATACCAATGTTTTAAAGGATCAAACTACCTCCATCTTCAGGACTGAAATGAGGAGGTTTCAGTCAACCAAAAAGCTAACTATGGGTGAAGCATTTTACATGTGCAATAAATTGTCCCTTACTGGGTTTGTGAATGTAGCGTCACAGCCAAGGGATGAGGAGTGAGGCAGGGAGATGGAGACAATACAGGCATTAGGAAAGTGCCCTTATTTTAGGAGCTAAATGGGGAGATTGGTCTAGAGAGAAAAGGATAAGAACCAGGAGCAGAAGTGTCCAGTGTGGGGGGGGAAACACTGTGGACAGAAGGGCCCTAAAAAGGGCAGTTTTTTGTAGAATGATGTGCAGGAGAATGTTATCAAGGAAGGTTCTTTTAATGATCGTGGGCAGAGGTGGGCTGTTTGGAGACGTGTGCCATGTCCATGGCAAGAGTCTTATTTTGTGCCCTCATGGTTTAGATGAGAGGCTTCCATTACATGGTCGGAGCGAGGCAATTTTCTTTGTGTTATTGACACGAAGCTCAGTCTCAGTTGCTTGCCTGATGATCTGGTCCATTCATCTTAATTTTTGTTCCTTCAAAACCGTTGATACCCGCCCGCAAGTCCACAGATGTTGAAACTCGGAAGACCACAGATGATGAATGTAAATGTGATTGTTTTCTGTTTTTGTAGGGTTTCTTGGATAGCATTAAGAGAGGCCAAGAACAAGTACTAGGAGACTTATCTATGACCTTGTGCGATCCTTACGCTATTAATTTCCTTGCTACTTCGGCAACAAAAATTCTTCAGCATTTAATTAATAACGATGCTTTACCTCGGGACAACACGGTGCTCATATTATTGTTGAGGATGCTTTCGCTTGGTCTGAGTGCATGGGTTATGATTGATTCTCAGGTAAGTTTCGTACAAGGAGGCATTGAACATCTTTTGACAGACGTGTTCCCTGTAAGTATGTTACCACAGCACCAGCAGTGAAAACTTGCTTGTTAATCGAGGAATTTGGAAGTTACATTGGAAATTTCTGACCCTTTGTCTATGTGTGTTAATTCATACTGAGCTAGAAATAAATTAGGTGGGGCGGGGGGGCTTTACTGACTGATATCTGTAATTGTAGGAGTCTCTTATTTAGAGTTCACATTTGGTTTTACTACTTTCTCATAATATTTGTGTTATTTATACCGTAGCGTATGAAATTTAATCTTGTCATTTGATCTATTTGATGAAAGTCATCATGTATTTTAAATTGATCTCGGTTTTATTTTGTTAATTCGGGATAAAGTCGTGAAAAGAGTAATGGTTACTTTTCTTAATCCTGAACTAGAGTGACTAAAGTGCCTCGCGTACCAGCGTTCTTAATGCAGGCAGCGGTAGAGGCACTCTGTTCTTTTACTTACAGTAAGACTATTTTTTTTCTCTTGCCGTTAGATTTGGAATAAACTACTGATGTGCCAGTCACTAAACTTCATTAGATTAGAAAAAATATTTCCATGTGTTTTTTTGTTTTGTGCAGGAATTTCGAGAACCCAAGTTGGATAGTCAGATAGTGACTAAGTTTTTGCCAGCTCTCATGTCTCTGATGGTTGACGATCAGGTTCGGATGTTAAACAGCAAATTGCCGCCGGACGAAAGAGAATCCGCTATCACCATTATTGAACATTCTGGTAAATTGTTTTACTCCTACTAAGTGAATTTTGTTAAATGGCTGGTGGATTTAAGTATTTCTTGAATTCTAAATATATTGTTTTGTGGGCTTTTGCTGTTTATTAATTTTCTGCTATTGAAGGGCTTTCTGATCAATGTAATTCTCATGATTTGTCATTGATCCATCCCAGAAATTCATGTGTTTCATGTGTGACTTCTTGCATTTGTTTTATGTCTGTTGTTTATGTGGGTTCTGTAGTGAGAGTAATGGTGAAGACTAATTATAATTCTAGAACAAATTGCGGTTCTGTGAAACAAATTTTTTTACAGATGGTTGAATCTGAAAGTGATTGTAATTCTACTAATAATTATGTCACTGAACTTCTGGCTGATGGTGACAGTAATTGGTCAATTATCGAAGTTCCTTGAAGTTTAGTTATTTGAAGTAGTTACTACTTATTCTGCAAGAGGTTACAAGTTTGGTCTTTCTCGATAAACTGAATACGTTAAAGTCATCTTGGGCGATTGGCTATTCAAGTATGGAGTTACAGTTTATCATCAGTTGTAGTTCTCCTTTTTCCTTGTTGTTACCTAATGAAAACATGGCAGTAGGGCAAGGTCATTTCAGTTTCAGTGTTTTTGTAATTAAAATTTAATGTTCATGCTTCAGGTCCCCCTCCAGATGCTTGTCAGGCGTACGTTCAAGAAAGCAGCGTGGCTAGTATACTTGCTATGTATTATACATTGCACACTGCCAGACAGAAAGATCGTGTCGGACTCATGAGGGTTCTAGGCACGTTGGCAAACTGCAAAAATGACAGAGCTTTTGAAGATCCATTTCTTCATTCATTGGCAAGTATAAATTTGAGAAAATAATGTTTAGGAATCATAAAAGCAGAAACTTTAAGAAAATTAATGTTAGTTTGTGTAACATGTATTTTTTTCTGTGGGTGCAGGTTTCTCTGCTTATACACATGAACGACGAGTTTTCGGCGGAAGACTTTTGTACTGTAATTTTTGACGAGTTCTTTTTTGCGGGTCTGGCCCGTGATAATGTGCCTAAGCACTTGCTGAAGCTGTTGTGGTACATTTACCCAAAACTTCCTACAGTCCGACTCCAAACACTCCCTGATGATGGAGGCAGTATGACCTCTGAAACGTTGGTAAACATCGTCGAGACTATACAGCGCAACAACCCAGAAGACAGAAATCTTCATACTAAGAATCTCCCTGATGATGGAGGCAGTATGACCTCTGAAACGTTGGTAAACATCGTCGAGACTATACAGCGCAACAACCCAGAAGACAGAAATCTTCATACTAAGAATCTCCCTGATGATGGAGGCAGTATGACCTCTGAAACGTTGGTAAACATCGTCGAGACTATACAGCGCAACAACCCAGAAGACAGAAATCTTCATACTCACCGCTGTGAAAACCTCAAATCTTACATTTCATGTTACTTGCATAATGGCCAAAGATTAAAATCTTTCTGGACCCTTTGGTCACATAAAATGTGCTTTACTTGTGGGAGAGTGCGGCGTGAGGTCTTGTTTTGTCATGTCATTGGTGGTCACATAAAATGTGCTTTACTTGTGGTAGAGTGCGGCGCGAGGTCTTGTTTTGTCATCTCATTAGCCCGCGCTGCTATATAATATCCAGTAGTAAGTATGGACGTGATTATTTTTTGTTTACACACTTGAAATTCTGTGGAGAAACAGTTTAAATCTGTAGAATGTACTTCTGAGTGGTTTTCTTTAATTTTTCAGCACAATGAAGCAGTGCACAGGCTGTACGATTCCTTGCAAGAAAGAATTGGGAGCCAGCAAGACGCGCCACACGTCCCAGCAAATATTGAGCATCTGGACTCCCCACTTATGAGTGTTCCTACTCCAGCCCCGTTGTAGTCGTGCATATATTAGTTTGAGATACGGTGAGGATATAGTCAGACGTCGCTGGTACAAACGTAAAAGTCATGGACGTTCTCCCCCCTTTATTTAAAGTTTGTTGGAAGACTAAAAAGGAAACCAAAAATCTCAGAATTATAATAAGATTTTATCTTTGGGTTATATCTGGAATTATTTAACAAATATGATTTTTAAGTAGTTCTTTGTTTTATTATAAACTATCAGGTACAACCTTCAGTGGTTGTTCAGTAATGTCGTACTGTTCTCGTGACGTGTTTTGTCTGACCTTTATACATTGTCATTAGCGGAGCACAAAAAACTGACTCGTGCTTGATGAGTCAAAAGAATTTAATTTTTCATTATTCTTCTATGTAGCTGTCTTTCTTATATCAACAGATACTAGACGTTAAGTTTGTGATTGGCTCAGACGTGAGTGCCTTTGTTAATGCGACAGGCATATTCTTGAACGTCGCAATGTAAGAAAAGGATCAGGGCGAAATTACATTTTGTTGATATCGCTTTACCCCAAGCTAGAGGACAATTTGCTGGCTGTATGTGACTGTATATTATCAGCTAAAATATTTAAAAAAGTCTTCCAAATTTTGGCATACATTTTATTTAGAAACCACTACAATTTTAGAGTAAATTGGATTAAAATGTTTGTGTAAGTGATAAAATCTCTATTTGTAAAAGAATGATGGTCTGTTTTATTTCATGTGAACATGTTTTTGATATATTGTCCTATATTTGTTGTACACCATTTCAGCTGTCTGCTGGATCCAACACTATTTTTTTTTGTTTTTATTGCAGTGACATCCTGTGTTTTGATATGTTTCTTTTTCACGTTGCTGTACCCAGCTGTCGCTGTTTCATTCCCATAGCCTCCTGTTGGCCATCCACATAAGTTCTCGTACCTATGGAACGTCTCTTATGTTGCCTAGTTCTGCGTAAGTTGGGCATTTCCTTATCCAGTATCCACTTTGTGGCCTACCTCTGCGCTTTGTGAAATGATAATTCTTTTACTTTCATTGTATTGCTTCTGGGGGTCAGTCAGGTTGATGGCTTTGGGCTGTTTGAAGAACACATTAAAAGACGAGTACCCTAACCTGTATCAAATTTGCAAACAAATTTAAAATGAGGGCTTTGTACCAAAGTGGAATTATGAAAAACACGATTAACTCTAATTTTTATAACTAAAAGTGTGTTTATTTTTGTTAAGAGACAAATTATTTTAACTACTTTTGTTGCTTATAATGAAAGTGCTTTTGTTACATTTGGGACTTCAAACACTGTGTGCATTAAGACAAAATTAAAGCATCTCTGTGCCTCTGCACTGTGTAGAGAGTGCGTAGAGATGAAGTTCCACATTACTACAAAAGATGGAGGTCAGTGATCAACTTTACCACATTTAGAAGCAGTCTTGATACCATTACAATTCTGGATGTGTAGGTGAAGAGAATATTTCTGTTGAATGCCACTTGAACAATTTTGAGGTTATTTCTCTCCATAAGCGAATGCCTGGCTAATAACTTGAACAAGCTTTGTCAGCCTTTCAGCCTTGTCTGCTCACTATTGAATTATCATTATGTAGTCATTTTGGTGCTGTTGAAACAGTGTGATCAACCAAATAAAAAAATCTCAGAGGTGTAATATTTTCTAAACTAATGGAGAGAGTTATGTCATCTGAACTTGTGGCAAGGAAGTAAATAGTAAGTTTGATACCATCACTCTCTGACCTAGCAGTTCGATTACTTTTACGTACCCCCTCTGGGAGGTAAATGTTTTTAATTTTATGTTTTATTTTGTTATCAAAACTATCAAAATTAAGAAAATCTGTGTTCTTTTGTCAAGGAAGAAGCAAAAACGTGATAACACTGATAAAAACAAAGTTTTTAAAAATGAACTACAATATCTGTGCGACATCTTCAGGAGAAAAAGAAATAGTCACGTGTTACGGACATGGTTGGCGTGTGTTAGTTTAAGAATGTTTTACTTCAAATCGTAATCGTTCGTCATCAGTGTGTTTCATATGAATATAATAAGTTTGTTCGTTTCAGTGGATTTAAAGTGAACTTTATTTTGTGAATTAATATTATTTCCGAAGTGGAATACTACCTCACGTAAGTTGTTTCCTGTCAATCAGAACTGTGCATAAACATTCTAACCTCTCATATTGTAAGCAAGGACCGTGCATATTCTAAAGTTCATTTGAAGCATAAATAAGTGTCATTCCTTTAGCAAATTAAACATAGCGTGTAACAAACATTTAATCTTTTGTTTCTTAGTACTGTATAGCCATTCTATATTCGTGGAATTACATTGCCAAATAGTGAGTTACTGAACGTATACGTAACTGGGAATCTGTGTAAGTAGTAAAGCTGAACGTAAAACCAACTGCGTGATAAATTTACATGACATCCAACACACACAACACATAGTGTTGTCAGTGTAAATAAGAGTTGTATTCCTAGCAACAAAAGTTTATTTTCTGAATAAAAGCAGTCGCGCTATACACCATGCTTGTGTTTTGGGGCCTAGGAGAGGGGATGGTAGGTAGTCATTCTTAATCTCGACACTAGATGGGTGTGCGGTCAACTTCACGTCACGGACGCGTTTTACCCACGGCAAAAGGACTGTGTTTTGAAATGCTATTGTAGATAAATTTGTATTGATACATAAAGAGGCCAGAGTAGGGCCAATACTGCAACTTTATTATTCACTCAGCCAGAGCGTAAAAAAACCTAAAATTATATTTTCTTGTTCGTACACGTGTTACGAGGTCGGGTCTTCTTATGGTTGGGAAATATGGATCGTCCTTTACTCTTCTCATCTGCTTATTTTCCAAAACCTTTATCCCCACAGCCACAACAAATCAATGAAATGCACCTACTTTATTCCTTAGGAAGCAAAGCATATTGTTATTTATCCATCTTCTTGTACCTCCCCAGAGGGCGGAGTAAGGGGAAAGTGAAATAAAAGAAGGACGATAATGCGACTAGACGCTTAAAGCAAGGGCAGCGGCTTATCTGGCAGTCACATCTCTTAATCAGCCCTGATGGCTGCACTGGAAAGACGATTACTTGGCTCGCTTGCTAAGTTTTCGCGTCGCGGGATGGGTGGGGCGTCGAGACATGGAACTTTTATTTAATTGCCGGCCAGGCAGATGAAGGAAATCTTTAATAAGACGCCATTTTTTTTGTCTTATATTTAATTTCTTCTCAACGCGTTTATATATCTTGGCTGTCATGCACAAAAGACTTTGTACAGCTATAAACATATTATGTACATTAATGTTACAAGTTCTTGGCAAGAGCCAATGGTCCAGGATAATTAATTTATCTGGCAGTATGTCTGTCTCATGGGCGTAGTTATTTTTACCTTGTCATTTCCACTCATCGTGAATTTGTTCCTGAACTGCATCTGACGAAAATTTGCCTTGATCTTTCATAGTGAATTGTGTACACCATTTATAGTTCTAGATCGAGATAGGATCGACGTAGATTCTAACCACTGCAGGATATTTATATTATTACACGTGTTTCTTGCGTTTTAGGTGCAGCTTTTCAACAGAAACGCCCCTGAACTTTTACAAATACACGATTAACTGTGAATCTGGGGGGAAAAAGGTCTGTTTATCGACGTTGTGCCTAAAAGCAATGCTGAAAAAAAAAAACTACTGCAGTTCTTGGTGGTCACGTGACAGTCTAACCACAAGGGTTTCAGATAAAACTGTAATGGCTACGTAAAATGTTACTGAAGCATAACACTTAAGCAAGCATGGATCCGTATCGAAGCCAGAGATTATACACAGCAAATTACCAAGCAATTCAATTAAAATTATTGACGTAATATTAGGGATATTACGAGCACAGTAACATAATGATGATAACTGAGAACCACTGTTACAGGAATTGTTATTATAGCAATCATTTATCAATAGACTACTTTTCCTAACAATTGCCCTCTTGCTCCGGGCTGCAGGTCGGACCCCAGGGAAGTTGGTGAAAGGTCGGTTCACAGTGACTGTGTTTATTCTGATTTTGTTTGGAAGATCTTTGGCGCGATCTAAGAAAAGTCACATCCTTACCTAGCCTTCAACGTAGCTTTACCATAAGGACGAGTGGGCACCGCCTGGGAACCTTCATAGCTTAAAATTTATTTCCCCCAAAGTAATGTCTCTCACTACTCTGTTTTCTCCTTTATTTTTGAACTCAAAAATAAACTTTTTATATATGCCTGTATTTTATTATTATGAAGTTTTGATTGGTTCAAGAGAGAGCTTTTAAGACTAGCGTTAGGTAGAATAGTGCGCCGTACGATCATATAACAGGTTGGGAATTATTTATCGACTTTTCCATGGGTTTAGATTGGTATTAGAGTAACACTAACCTCAGAAAGTTCCGGAAATATTGTTACGTGCACGCATCCGTGTGTCATGTTGCTGTGAACCGGGCTTTCTGGCTACGTGGTGCTAATGCAGTAATGCTCAGAGCATTACGCTGTGGGAACGGGTAAAACAGCAGCGTTTGGGTCATGAGGAAGTTAATGCTATAATCTGTGAATTTATTGCAGAGCTTGCGTTATACCAGGAGTCGGAATGTGGGTCTAATCACAGGGGCAGGGCATAGCATAGCATGGCGGTTATAAAATTACCACCGCGGAAAGATGGCCGTGTCTCGGTAGTATCCAAATTGAAGAGCTTTGCTGCAAAATTAAAAGATAGTTTATTTCGCGTAGAATAACTATCGTGGGGAAGTAACACATAGTTAAGAACTTTCTCGTGTAAATAAATGTACAATAGTCGATTCTGTGGCCTCATGTGGTAACGCCTGATTGTCGAAGGGTGGGAAATATTTTTCCACTCAGTTTGTCACTGAACACGTGTTTGGTAGGTACGATGTTGGATCTAGGTATCCTGACCAAATATTTTAATAATTCATTAATAGTTTATCCTGCCCAACGCCATGATACCGTGTTCAAAATATTTTCTTAAAATCCTTTACCTGTTTACCATATTATTTATCCATTCAGCGTTATATAATCTTGACAAGTTGATTCAGCGTCGTCAGAAATCTCAATAACCAATTAATCACCGTAATTATGAAGAAAAAATAAACTCTTATTGTGTTGTTATTAAGGGGGAGACTACGTTTCTGTGGAATTGATAATAAAGTTAGTGAGCGTCTCCGAAACGTCCGTTATTATCAATCAGACTAGACGTCATATTATCGTAAAACATCCCACAACAATTTTTGTGAATTTTGTAATATTAGTAAGATTTTAGATTCTCCACTGCGGAGAATATGAATATGACTGTCTTACCGACGTTTCGGAGCTGCTTCTTGCACTTATGATGGAGGCAGCAAGGTTATCTGAAACGTCTACACGGCGCAACAACACAGAAGACTGCCGTCTTAGATTTTATTAGTATCGTCTCAATTATTTTTCGCGAACAAACAAATGTATTTTCCGTGTTACGTAAAAACACGCAGTGATTTCTGTCCATTGCGGTGTGTGGCTTACAGAGACGTTTCTCCCGCTACTATTCATCATCATCATCATCATCACATCGCCAGGCCCATTCTAATGTAACCACGCGGTTTTAACACCGACACAGGCGTACGGAATGATATTGCAGAATGCTTTATTTGGTCCAGTGTTGTAGAATCCCCTTTTCTACCCCCCTCTATTAATCGGATCAGGTTTTAACTCTGCTTTAATTCCAGCTGCGTAGTATAATAACTGCAGTTTAGCGGAAAGTGCTCTGCTGAGCTCACGTGGAATTTAGCTAGAATACCACACAGTTTAGCTTCTAGGACAGTCGGCGTTACTTTTAAGCGGAAGTACACTCGCGTTCAAGTGAGTATACCAAGAGTAGAACTTCATTCTGAAGAGTACCGATTCGTGTGTAGTGTCACAATCAATGATAAACACTCAAAACACCAATCAGAAGCCGGGACAGGAATTGATAGGCCTTTTACCGTTTCCATAGCAACCAAAAACTAACTCCATGGAGCAGAATCCATCCATCCATTCAGTTAAATTCTCTGTCCTTTATACAAAGCAAAGTTTTGTTAGTTCACACAAGAGTCCGTCATAAGACGTATTTAAATATTATTCCCCCGTTTATGGTCAGGTATTCGAAGCAAAATTTTTTACGCATTTATTATGTCTCTCATCCTCGTTATGATTTGATCATCCAAATAATTTTTGGCCAGGTGTAAGAATTCACCCACGAAGTTAATTTTAATCAGGTCATAGGAACACTTGAGACCATAGAAAATGCAACATCGTAGAACTTAGAAAAAATCCAAACTGCCCACATACTTGCGTCCCTACGTATTATTTGGTATTGTTAATCTGGCGAACCAAATTTGTCCAGTGGCAAAATCAGGAACATGTTGGGCCCCTACCTTTTCAATGAAGCTGTTTCAAATGTCGGCCCAGGAGAGTTACTGTATTTTTTTGTGGTTTTTCTCAG